TATCCAGAATATATACAGAACTCTTGCAGCTCAACAATAAAAAGATAATTAGCTTAGTTTAAAAATGGGTAAGGCACACAAAAACCTGCACCCAGATGTCTATAACAGCTTTATTCAAAACTGCGAAGACCACTTTGTTATAAAGCAGAAACTAACACACCATTGTAAAGCAATTATACCCCAATAAAGATGTTAAAAAAAAAAAAAAAAAAAAACTGCGAAGACTTGGAAGCAACCAAGATGTCTTTTGTGGGTGAATGGGTAAACTGTGATACATCAGACAATGGAACATTATTTAGTGCCAAAAGGAAATGAGCTGTCAAGCCATTAAAAAAAAAGAAAGGAAAAGGAGGAACTCTAAATGCTTATATTACTAAGTGAAAGAAGCCGATCTGAAAAGGTTACATACTGTATGATTCCAATTACATGACATTCTGGAAAAGGCAAAACTATGAAAACAGTAAAAAAAAAAATCAGTGGTTGCCAGAGGTTGCCGGGAGGGAGGGATGAATAGATTTGAATAGGGAGGGAGCACAGATTTTTAGGGCAGTGAAACTATTCCGTGATCCTATAATAGTAGACATATGTCATTATACATTTGACAAAACTCAGAAAATGCACAACACCAACAGTGAACCCTAATGTAAACTATGGACTTAGGGTAATAATGACATATCAATGTAGATTCTTCAGTTGTAACTAATGTGCTACTCTGGTACCAGATTTTGGTACTGAGGGAGGCTGTGCCTATGTGGGGCAGGGAGTATGTGGGAAAGTTGTGTACTTTCTGCTCAATTTTGCTGTGAACTTAAAACTGCTCTAAAAAGTAAAGTCTGTTTAAAAGGAAAAGAAGGGATCTGAATAGACATTTCTCCAAAAAGCTCTACAAATGGTCTACAAGCATATGAAAGATACCCAGCATCATTAATCATTAGGAAATTACAAATCAAAACCACAGTGAGATATCATGTAATGCCCACAAGAATGGCTGTAACAAAAGACAGACATGTATGAATGGATAATCAAAATGTGATATATACATACAATGGAATATTATTCAATCGTAAAAAGGAAAGAAATCCTGTTACATGCTATAACATGGACAAAACTTGAGGACATTATGCTAGGTGGAATAAGTCAATCACAAAAAGACAAATACTGTATGATTCTACTCATATGATGTATCTAAAGTAGTCAAATTCATAAAAACAGTAGAATAGTCGTTGCTAGGGGATAGGGGGTGGGGGAAATGGGAATTGTTATTTAATAGATATAGAGTTTCAGATTTTGCAAGATGAAAAGGTTCTGGAGAGCTGTTTCACAACAATGTGAATATACTTACGAAGGAACTTACACTTAAACATGATTAAGTTGGTACACTTTATGGGGTTTTTTATCGTATGCTTCTTTATCATGATTAAAAAGAAAAAACAACATTTAAAGACTGACAATAACAGTGTTGGCAAGGATATGAAGAAACTGGAACTCTCATACATCGCTGGAGGGAATGTAAAATGGTGCAGTCCTTTTGGAAAACAACTTGGCAGGGAGTTCCTTTAAAAGGTTAAACACAAAGTCCTCTATGATCCAGAAATTCCATGCCTAGGTATATACCCAAGAGAAACGAAAGCATATGTCCACACAAAAACGTGTACATATATGTTCATAGTAGCATTATTCATAATAGCCAAAAAGTGGAAAAAACCCAAATATCCATCAACTGGTGAATGGATATTTAAAATGTGGTATGTGTGAGCACAGTGGTGCATCTGGGCCAGAGGTCAGTGGACCAAAATACAATGTAGAATATTCATACGATGGAATATTGTTCAGCCATAAAAAGGAACGAAGTCCTGATGAATGCTACACATGGATGAATCTTGAAAACATGCAAATCCAAAAAAAAGCCAGACACAAGGGCTTCCCTGGTGGTGCAGTGGTTAAGAATCCACCTGCCAATGCAGGGGACACGGGTTTGATCCCTGGTCCAAGAATATCCCACATGCCACAGATTAACTAAGCCTGTGTGCCACAACTACTGAGCCTGCGCTCTAGAGCCCGTGAGCCACAACTACTGAGCCCACATGCCACAGCTACTGAAGCCCACGTGCCTAGAGCCTGTGCTCTACAACAAGAGAAGCCACGACAATGAGAAGCCCACGCATCTCAATGTAGAGTAGCCCCCGCTTGCTGCAACCAGAGAAAGCCCACGTACAACAACGAAGACCCAACACAGCCAAAAATAAATAAATAAATAAAAATTTTAAAGAAAGCCAGACACAAAAGACCACATATTGTATGATTCCATTTATATGACATGCCCAGAATAGGTACATCTATAGAGACAGCAAATTAGTGGTTGGCAGGGGCTGGACAGGAGGGAGGAATGGGGAATTACTACTAACAAGTATGGGGTTTCTTTTTGAGATGACGAAAATGTTCTGAAATTAGATAGTACTGATGGTTTCACATTTTGTAAATATACTAAAACCCCCTGAATTATAAACTTTAAAAAGGTGAATTTTATGGTATGTGAATTATATCTCAATTTTTTTAAGGTTAAAAAAAAGAAATATATCTAAAACACATATACAGGGAGAGTCAACAGGCAGATAATATCCTTGAATGTGACTTCATTTGTAACCCATAGACTGGTAAGACTGAATAAGCTCAGGGTACATATTCTAATATTATTATTTCCATTTTCTTAAATCATAAAAATACTAAACACTAAAATGTTCAAGTTTACCTGGCAAAAAAGAGAAAAGTATCCATAATCTTACCATGAAATAGAACAACTATTTCCTTTTCTCCCATATATTCTCTGATCAGTGATGACTTTTTCACAAACATGACTAAAATAGGAATGACTAAACATGACTAAAATAAAGATGTTAAGGTCTCTATCTTAATCAAGAAACAAGCCTCCAACTTTAGGAATTCCTACTTGGGAGAAATTCGCTATATGAAATTCAAATTTCTAAGACATGCAAAGCAAATATGTAACCAATTATTGGCACGAATACCCAAATTTTGCTGAGTGAGTGCTCCTCATATAACTGCACAATCTCCCCTGCTGTTTCTTAGACTCTCCAGATGAGGTCTCTGCCCACCTTCCTCATTGATGCTATAAACTACCTGAGGCTGGTTTCTCAAGATGCGGCCCCTTAGTGGTTCTCTCCCTGAAAATGCTGCCCCACTATGGGTTTGGGGATATCGGTGCTGAAGGGAGTGTGATATCGGCCAAACTGCTTGCCCTCTGTGAGGCTCAGTTTCCTCATTTATAAAATAGGGATGATAGGGGCTTCCCTGGTGGCACAGTGGATAAGAATCCGCCTGCCAATGCAGGGGACATGGGTTCGAGCCCTAGTCTAGGAAGATCCCACGTGCCGCGGACCAACTAAGCCCATGCACCACAACTACTGAGCCCGCGCTCTAGTGGCTGAGAGCCACAACTACTGAAGCCTGCGAGCCACAACTACTGAGTCCATGCGCCTAGAGCCCGTGCTCCACAACAAGAGAAGCCACCGCAATGAGAAGCCCACGCACCGCAACGAAGACACAACACAGCCACAGATAAAAATAAATAAAATTAATTAATTTAAAAAAATAGGGATAGTAATACCACTTCACAGGGTTTTAGTGAGAATTACATTAACCAATGTCTGTAATGTGCTTGGTTCAGTAAACAAAGGCTGTTATTATTATGATCCAAGGATGCATTTAAAAAAGTCACTTCCAAGGAATTCCCTGGCGGTCCAGTGGTTAGGACTCTGCGCTTTCACTGCTGAGGGCCCAGGTTCAATCCCTGGTCAGTGAACTAAGATCCCACAAGCCATGCGGTGCAGCCAAAAAAAAGTCACTTCCAAACCCTGCACCCACACCTTCCTTATTTATCTACACAGTGAGCCCAGAAGGCGATTGCCAGTTTCAGATGACCATCTACATGGTACTCTATGGATGAGGCCAAGAGACAACCCAAGTGTCTAGTAGATAATAGGACCCAGGAAACATCTCCTAAGTAAATGAATGAAAGGAGCCTCAAATTCCTTTGCTTACACTAAAGGGTTTGGGGTTTTTTTCCCCTTTTTCCTGATTATAAATTAACATGAAAAAAATTATTCATTATTTTAAAACTATATATATACAACAGCACAGCAAATTGAAAAGTAAAGAGAAACTTTAAAAAGCACTCACATTCCTACCACCCAAGGGGCAATCTAACATGTTTTGTCATGTTTCTTTTTCATTATTTTTACAGTGTTGAGCTAATTTTATACTTTATATAATTTTATATCCTGCATTTTTTCACTTAGTACATTATAAGCATTTCATTTAATGTTTTATAAATAACTTCAGTGTTTGAATACTATTTTATTATATGGGAACTAACAATTTCCCCATCATTGGATTTTTAGGGTGTTTCCAATTTTCTATTGCAAATTAGATTTTCTGAGTGTCAGAAATATATTTATGTATATATGTATATTATGAGCTCAGAAAAGAATAGAAACGTGTGTATGTGAGTGGGTGCCTTTGGGCATGGGATTGTTGGGATGGGGCAAGGTTTGTGCTTTTATGTTACATACTTCTTTACTGTTTAAATCATTTATAGCTAGCAGGGATGACTTTTGAAATTAAATGTTTATGCAAAGGAAGGAAGGAGGAGAGAAGAAAGGAGGGAGAGGGGGAGGGAGAAAGAAGGAAGGAAGGAAGGAAGGAAGGAAAGAAGGAAGGAAGGAAAGGAGGAAAGGAGGAAGGGAGGGAGGGAAGGAAAGAAAGAAGGAAAAAAATTCCTGTACCAATTCCATTTGTAAAGAGCCTGAAAGATCAAGAGCCACAAGAAGTAACTAAGCAAAAAAAAAAAAAAAGAAGTAACTTAGCAGTATATCCCCAAAGACTCATACAGACCTATAATTAAAAAGTAGATATGTTTGGGATTTAATTTCTCTGAGCAAAAAAGGAAATAGCAAGCTGCAAAGAATCCCAGCCCAACTTACTGATTGATTTTGGATTCTGTGGTGTTTCCAGCTTTGTCTCTCAATTTGATTGTAATGGAGCCTCTTCTTATGTTCTTGTTCCAAGTTATAATATCCACAAAGTAATGATATACTACAAAACAGGGAGAGAACATGGTAAGAGAAGAATATTACCAACTGCTTTCCTGAAGGTTCAATTCGTAAAAACCCAACCTCCCTAATAACTGAGTCTCCTTTTCTCTTCCTCTAGTTTTTCTGCAAAGATCCAGGGCAGAATTTTCTAATATTTTTTTCTATTCTCTTTGGTAAAGATGGCCTGAGTGATGGCAGGACTCAGTGGTATGCAGTTGCCATGTGTAGGCATCACTCTTGGATCAGTGTTTCCACCTTATCGACTGAAATCTCATGGCCTACTGCCAAGTATGATTGGTTCACTTCAATCCCTGCCCATTTTAGAATAAACCAAATAGGGGGCCATGTAGAGACCCTCCACAGCTGTCAAGGTCTTCCTCAATCTGGGCCATGTCCGCCAGCCTACCCAGCCTCCCTCATCTCCTCCCCAGTCATGCCACACCACCTGCACTGCCATGCTCTCTCTTGCTTCTGGGCCTTTCCCCACCTTGGACACTCTTACTTTGCCCCCTTTGCCAATTCATCCTTCAGGTTCCAGCTGAATGCACTCCCTCCAGAAGGCCTTCACTGACCCTCAGACTAAGTCAGGTCTCTCTCAGAGCTCTTATCATGCTCTGGTATTCTCTCATCATTAGTTAACACACTTTATTTACAAAATGTAAGAAAAATGATAACCAAAAAGTGGTAAACATATGTGTACATCTGTACAAATATTGCCTGTATAATGTCTTATGGGGTTTTTTAAAAAGCTAAAATATACTACAACGGTAACTAGGAAGGGATGGTTATTCCTCTTTGTAATCCCAGCAGTAATACCTATGGATATCCATTAATTCCTACTGAATAAACGAGAGCACGTAGCGTATCCAGAGAACTATTCTTCCTCCCTACTCTCTGCTCCCGAAGGTCAAGGATGCTCTGGGAAGACGGGGATCCCACCATGATAGTCAGATTTGCTATCTCTTGGTCAGACTTGCAGAGAAGGGGAAAGAGGCTCAGGGAAATGACAGTCCCACTAGGGAATAAGGTCAGCCATGGGGTTGCCATTTCATGGCCCATTATTACTCAGGGGCTTGCCCCATTTGGATTGGGCAGACACCAAACCCTGGGCTGCCACTCATGATTCCAAAGAAGGAGGGAAACCTGGTGATGTGCAACCTCTTTTATAAGGGTTGCTCCCAAGAAAAGTGAAAAGGGGGATAAGATTGTAAGATGTACATCTGCCCAGGAAAATTCCTACTTGCTTCCCGGGGCATCTGATCATCTGCTGCCCCATTTAGCTCCCATCTTGAATACCCAACCTCTCAATGTCTTTAGAAGGTCATTGTTTTAGTTTTGGAGCTGGAACTGGCCCATAGATGTGGCTGACACCTGATTTTTCCTAACCACAATTTCACGTCTCTTGGGGCTCAGACAAATTTCCTGGAAGATCTTAGTGATTAGAATGGCCATCCAGTGAAGCTAACAACTATGATTTGTTGAGCTTTTAATCCTTATAACTCAGAAGATAGGCATGATTATCCCCCTTTTACCAAGCAGGACATTGAGACTCAGAGAAGTTAAATGTCTTGGTCACACAGCTATTATGTAGGAGAGTCAGGATTCAACCTAGGTCCTTCCAACTCCAAAGTCCATGCTTCACCATGGCCTTCATTTGCCAAGAAGTAGCCAGGAAGCTGAGACTCAGCCATTCCAAAACTAGAAGAGCTGGGCAACAGCAAGCAAGCACATTCACCACTCACTGCAGAAGGGTTTCTCCTCAGCTGTGTCAAAGAACACTTTAGTCATAGGAGGATCCCGCTCCCTTAAATAGTCTTTCCAATTATCAGCATAGTAGCCTATAAAATAAGTCAGAAAAGTGTAACATTAACATATATTATATAAATGTAAAAGCAATGGAGGAGATAGTGAGAACAGCGGGTTTGACTGCCACCACCATCGAGACAATCCCCCACGTACCCACTTGCCAAAGGACCCTCCAGTGGCTTTTCCCCCTATCTATTGACATTACATCACCAGCCCTGGTCCTCAGTAGCAGGGGTGGGATTGTGGGGAGTGACACACACTGGGTAGACTAAAAATAGCACTGATATATTCCAGCAATTCATTTTCTAGATTATTTAAAACAGATTCAGGTTTATACCTAGAACAGCATCACTTTTGGAAAGCGATGTGCTTCCTTGAAGAACTGTGATTGGGCCCCTGAAGTGCAGAGAACTTGGAATTGCTGTGTTACTCTGTCAACAGGCAGGGAAATGTCCTCCTTCCTCACGTGCCTACAGGAATGAGGCTGAGGGCCATCCCTGGGGCCTCTCTCTCTCCTCTGTCCCCACTGCTAGGGAGTGGCCTCCACATTCTGATTTAACTGATCTGAAGTGGAACCCAGGCATCAGTATTTTTTAAAAGCTCCGTAGATGATTCAAATGCACAGTCAAGTCTGAGAACCCCTTGTCTATAGCATGCCCTGATGTTAACTTGAGTCTTTCCTTTGGGTACAATTAGAGAATTCTCATGACCATCCAGTTGCAAAGTCTCCACCACCCAGAATATTTCCACTAATGCTTAGCAAATATCCAAGCAGTCTCCACGGTGTCTGTTACCCCAGCCCACCCCTGTATGTGTCCATGCACACAGCACCAGAGTGTGGCATGAGGGCATTTACAGACACAATTTGTTAGAGGGGTCGGTTTGCCAAACCCTCCCCCAGCAGAGAGATTGTGTGCCTGGAGAGAGTGCTCCTGTCCCCACAGGAGCAGACTACATAAGGTGACTGTGCCTGGGTGAGCTTGGAAAGTCTTCTGAAACCTTCTTTTTCTTGCTAGAATAAAGTATACAGGGAGGTGGCACTACCTTCTGGATGAAATCCTATATAGATTGCCTTTCTAACATTCTTTATTATTAGGAGACCCCAGAGTACTTCACAGAACAAATTGGCTAGAAAAAACTAAGTAAGTTTTTTAAAAACACAGGATTTTCAGGCCCATTTTTAGATGGTAAAATGGTGCTAGGATTCTACCAGAAATTAGCTCTTTGTTCATCAGAGTGGGAAACTGCTTGCTGGACTTACCCAGAAGTGGGCAGGACTCCGTCTGTGATATGCCACAGTTGACACACTTGCCGTTCCTATAATCCCGGTAGGAGTCACAGGGATACGCGGTGATGGTGCAGTTCTCTCTCAGCGAAGAAAGGTACAGGTACACGGACCTCTGGTGGTCACACTTAAAATACTGCATTCCTGGGTTGTAAAAGGAATGATCAAAGAGTAGAGCAGTTGTAACATTTAGTAATAAATAGTGCCTCGCATATTGTTTATACACATAATTTATCGTGTCCCCTACATCAGGCACTGTGCTAACAGCTTCAATGTACTTGATTCCATTTAATCCTTATAAAACCAATAGATCAGGATTCATGCTGACAAATGGCAGGAGACAAGAAGATAGGCATGATTACCCCCATTTTACCTAGCAGGACATTGAGACTCAGAGAGGTTAAAGGACTTGACCTTGTCCTTCCTTTGTCAGTGAAAGGAAGAGGAAATGTCAGTGGTAGTCAGAGATCCACCAGAGGTTTTCAGCAGAAGGCAAGCACATTTAAACCAGTAAATACATGAGAGAAAGACGGCATTGGGGAGCAATTTGTAGAGGAAGATCCCCAATGAGGGCAAGAAGAGGAGATAGTTGTGAAGAAGGATGGGGCGATGCTTCCACCTTGGGTCAGATGGGGAAATGAATGTAAAGACCAACTTTGTGATCTAAGGTTAGGATAGATAAAATGGCTTCTTCGGGTGGGACCTTGATCTAGGTACAAAAGTCAAATCTAGCTCAGCTCTAAGAGGTGAGGGTTTATAGCTGGGGCGGTATTTGGAATAGAAGCATGAGGAGTGACCATAGGGAGTCCGCAAGAGATGCGTATGAGGCTTTTCTGGCATTATTGGGGGCCATGGAGAAGTTAACAAGTTTGCCTGGACCTTGTACTTGATCAACAAGACTCCATGACTTCTCCAGAATGTGCCCAAGCAAAGATGGGGGCTGACATGGCAGAGACCTAAGGGCCTGGGGGTGCACAGGGCATTCATGAGAGCAGACAAGTGGCAGGGGCTCCATTTCTGCTCCAAAGGTGAAGGGTGAAGTGAGAGGAGCTGAACAATAGGAGGTGGCACTGGAAGCTGTAAGTGGGCAAGAAGAGGTGAGACACAAGCCTCAAGTTAATTCTTGGTGGGTGCCCTGTGATGTGATGGTGAGAGAGGAAGCGGATGAGGCACAGAGGTGGCCATCAGAAGAGTTGGAGCTGATGAAGGACTTCAGTACAAAACATCAGAGAGGTTCATCAGAAGGTTGATGGGTCAGACGATGAAGTCATTCAGAAACAGGAACTGGGTCCCAAAGATGGGTAATCAAAGGAGGTAAGGATCTCAATAGCAGACAGTGAACCCCATGGAAAGAGGAGTTGTGATTGTGAGCTAGTAGTTTGGAGAGGCACTGGGAGCTGGAGTCAGATCAATGTTCCTTCTTTCTCCGGAGTCCACATATGCCCATAGAAGAGATCAGTGGAGGACATAAAGAAATAAACTGGGTGACAGAGGAGAAGCATGGGGCCAAGCTGGACTGGAGTAAAATCTGACAAGTCGACATTTAATTATTGTTCCTGGAACTTCCACTTGCAGAAACAATGAAGTTAATAATGCTACAGAGGATGTCCTTTGTAAGCAAAGCACATTATCTTTGGCTGCTCATGGATGTAGTTACATTACAGCACACAGGACAGGATTTGAATACACACCATTTATGGTACAATGTGATTGGCCCTACTTATGTCATTTCATCTGGATCATTTTCAAACACTACATCATTCCCATGGAGCCATATACAGCTACCATTTTGGAACAAGATCATCTCTTTCTAGAATTATTTCCATGATTGCTTAATTGTCTCTAACAATGGTGAAATACAGATTCAGAGCACTTGGCGGGGGGGTTGTTTTTTGTTAATTTTTGGCTGCGTTGGGTTTTTGTTGCTGTGCACGGGCTTTCTCAAGTTGCGGCGAGCGGGGGCTACTCTTTGTTGCGGTGCGCGGGCTTCTCATTGCAGTGGCTTTTCTTGTTGCAGAGCCTGGGCTCTAGGTGCATGGACTTAAGCAGTTTTGGCACGCGAACTCAGTAGTTATGACACACGGGCTCAGTAGTTGTGGCTCACGGGCTTAGTTGCTCCGCAGCATGTGGGATCTTCCTGGACCAGGGCTCAAACCCGTGTCCCCTGCATTGGCAGGCGGATTCTTAACCACTGTGCCACCAGGGAAGCCCAGGGTGGTTTTTTTTAATTCTGTCCCCCACCACACTTTAATGTTGCCCTCCAACTACCCATTTTTGTTTTGTGAGTTTTTTCTCATTATAAAACTAATACATGCTCATTTAGAAAATAAAAAATAATAGCAAATTATGATGCAAAAATTACCTAGAAATCCAACATCCAGAGATCACCACTAATAATTATTTGGAGCACTTATGTTTAGTGTTTTTCTCTGCACTTACACATGTACAAATATACATTTAAAAAACAAATTGGGATTATACTGTATAATTTGTGTATTTTTCACTTAACATCATATTGTAAGCATTTTCATTAATCTGACAATATGGTTTTTAAGAATTACATTCCTTTGTGTAGAATGCACCATACTATTTAATAATTCTCCTATGTTGGACATTTAGATTATTTCTAAAAACTTAACTATTATAAACAATGCCATATTGAATATCTTCACTCTGATTTTTGTCTACATTTTCCATTATTTCTCTAGGAGAGATTTCCAAATGTGTAATTTCTAGGTCAAAGACACACCTTTTCAAGAGAGAGAGAGAATTCAAAATCGCTTTTAATCATATGGTTATTTTTTTTAAGTAGTATATTTGAGTAATAATGTTTAATTTATAATTTATATTTATACCACCTCTATCTTCTCAGGAAATTTGTTTTTGATTAAAAACGATTTCACATAGGATAATATCAGATTTTTAAAATACGCCTTTTTTAAACCACTATTTTACAAAATATAAAGTATCTGCACTTACCTCCAAATATTGTTTTGGGGCAACCAGGTTGATCCAATCCTCCGTTTGGGTAGAAGTCTATGTTTCCTAATGGTTCCCTGTAGCCCAGTGCTAAAAGGCAATATACTAGGCTTTTATACTGCTTTGAACTTTTCCCATCTCACAGCTCATTTGCCTGTTTAGGATATAGGCAGAGATTGTCTCATTCTTGTCTTTGCTGCTGCTGTTGTCGTTAAACCTATTTAAATATTTTATCCAAAGTTAGCCAGATAGTTAGTTAGAAAGCAGTGATTTCCAAGTAGGAGACTATGAAGCTGGTAACAGAATTTACTTCCCATATTTCTGAAAATGTAAGAGAGTTTGGTCACTCATTCACTGCATGGCTGATAAAATGATATGTTTCATGTTATTTTTGGCTGGAACACTCATTGCTAGGTGCTTCCTGAGCCTCTAATTACATGTGTGTAAGTCTTTAATGAATAAGAAACAGGAAAAAATGAACCTTTACTTAGTAGGAGAAACCTTTAAAATTTGGGGATCTAGGATGGTTAAAAGATTGGAAACTCTTCTAGAAAATGGGGACCTAGAAAATTATAGATTTAATAATTGCTTATTCTCTTTAACCTTGTAACTCCAAAGTAATCAGTAAAATGCTTGATTAAAAGTTTATACAGGGGGGCTTCCCTGGTGGCGCAGTGGTTGAGGGTCCGCCTGCTGATGCAGGGGACGCGGGTTCGAGCCCCGGTCCGGGAAGATCCCCCATGCCACGGAGCGGCTGGGCCCGTGAGCCATGGCCGCTGAGCCTGCACTTCCAGAGCCTGTGCTCCGCAATGGGAGAGGCCACAACAGTGAGAGGCCCGCGTACCACAAAAAAAAAAAAGATTATACAGGGACTTCCCTGGTGGTCCAGTGGTTAAGACTCCACACCACACTTCCACTGCAGGGGGCATTGGTTCAATCTCTGGTCAGGGAACTAAGATCCCACATGCCGTGTAGTGTGGCCAAAAAAAAAAGAAAGAAAGAAAAAGATTATACATATGTATGTATGTATATATATGTATAAACACATATATAGTGTATCATTGCAATAATGATAATAGCTATTATATGTTCAGGAAACTACATGTGTCTGTGGGTGTGACACTAGGGGTTTTACACAGATTTCTTCTAATTTTCACAATGTCTGAAAAGTAGCCATTGGTAAATTCAGATGAAGTAAGTTACAGATGAAGATTCTGGGGCTTGGAGGACTTATGGACCAAACATGATACCACCAGAAAGAACCAAACCTGGGATTTGAGTCCACCCCTGCCTTGACTGCAAAGCTTATATTTTTCCTTCAAAATTTGCCCGCTCCAAGAACAAAAAATAAATTACTCTATGCCGTCAAGCATTAAAATAACATTGAGGTACTGCACCTAAGTAAGGTAATACTTTGCAAACTGCATAGTAAGAACACAGCTATTTCCCAGAGACACTTCTTCTAAGGCAAACAATTGCTGAATACCACACCAGAGTGCCCACAATAGGCAGTCAAGGGTGTTTCAGGTGGTTGTATCACAAAGGAGATGTACTATTAAATGTCCACTATGGTCTGTCCCCTCAGCCCTCCCCCAAGTTCCTACTCCAGCTCTTCTCCCAAACATCTGGATATAAAGACCCATCTGTAACATCAGCCCAACCCCCAAGCCAGGTACCCAATCCCAGAAATGAAATCCACACCATAAAAGATAGAAATAGCCAGGAAGATCCACAGAGAGCTAGAGACCTATAGGTGGTTCAGAAATGCTCTGTGTGGAGAGACACAACACTTAAACATATCTTTCAGCTTAAGGAAATAATGACAAAGAACCAACAAAAACAGGGAATCATGCATCCAAACCCAGTTGTACTTATGGAAACATTTGTCCACATGGTATGCAAATCAGCCTGTCCTTGACTGGTCAAGATGATCACTTTAAAAATAACAGGAGACAATGGGAAATGCACCTCTACTCCATCAGGAGATCCTGGGTGCCTGCATTAAAGCAACTTCCCTTCAGTATTCTTGTGGATTTGGAAACTTGCCCGGTAGGAAAAGAGGGAATCTAGAGGAACCTGATCCACCCCTGCATGACAACCCCCCTAGCGGGAGACTCTTTGGGAGTCTGGGGGTGAGGGTGTGGGTGGTCGCTGACCCACAAGGAATGTTACCATCAATGTCAGAATGGATGACGTCAACGAACTGTGCATCACCGGGATCTAATCTGTCCTCTGGAGGTCTCCCATTGAATAAAGGGCCTGCAGGGTCCAGACCTGGAAGGAAAACAGAGTCGGCTTGGCAGCCCCACGCTGTGAGTCACCTGCAGCCGGGCTTTGGATCCCTCCCCACGAAGATGGCTCACAGGCTTCGGGGAATCCTTGGGTGGGCAAGCACTCACATTCCCCTCCTGCTGTGTCAGGCTCCTTTCCACAGCCCTGTATAGCCTTTCCCCACACTAAAGGTGGTTACCCTCACAGTGCCCCCTGAGAACTCATCCGGACTCCATCTGGAGGTGTACTATACCTTGTGCAGGGCTCCACAGCAGGGAGTGCACAGACATATGGGGACCAGGGACTGGAATAAACTGGTTCCTCAGGAAAAAAGCATCTAAGAGTGCATATAAAAAGCAGACACTGTACTTATCTTTATCTCATTTTAAATAATCCAGAAACTTCACTCAACTTTTCTTTCTTGTTATTAAAAAAGCTCCTTTATTGTTTCCATTTTTATTCACATTTATGGGCTCACCTGATCCACATCACAAAGGAGGAAAGGTAGCTATTGTCATTCCTATTTTACAGGTGAATGAACTGAGGTTCAGGGAGGTCAAGTGTCTTAGCCAGGGCCACAGCCTCACAATGCAACCACAGCCTCACAGTGCAACCACCTCTCTCTGTTGAGCTTTTGGTTTCATTGAACTGGGTTTGGCAAACTGAGTGGGAAAGTGTGAGACTCACTGGTCAGGCCAGGTATTAGACTAGGTATGGAAGAGGGAAATTAGGTGGGTGCCAGTTCCTGCAAAATTAACCCATCCCATAAAGGCCTGAACTGATTTCTTGCTCTTGGTCAATGGTAGCTGGACATTCCTCACCATTATTATGAAACATCTGTAAAAACAAGAGAGCAGCTCCTATGATGATGTAACCACAAACTAAAAACAAAACACCAGAGGATCCCAAAGACCTTGCTAACTAGAAACTTACCTGGAGTGAAAAAGGTTTCAAGGGATGTCTCCGAGTTTTTAATCTATGAAGGTCACTTTAAATGACATCCCCTATCCCCCCCCCCACCCCCATGGTATAAAATCCAAGAGATAGCATCTTTGCCTCAGCAGTCCTGGTTCTAGCCCCAATCTCTCCATTTCTCCCTGGCCAACACCCTTGCTTCCTTGAGGCATGTCTTTATCTGCCCCCTTATTTTATCTCCCTCTGTTTCCCCCACTCCCCCACCCCCCAGCTTTTCTTCCCCTTCTGTCTGCTCCCAACTGAAACTGATGTGGGGAGGAGGTGGATCAACACCCAGGTACCCAAGTCCACAGGATATTCTCTGCACAGAATGAGAAACTCATAACCTTGGAAAGACCTTGCTGGGGAAGCCTCCCCCTCCTCACATGAAACAGCACCATTTCCAGTCTGAGAAAATGAACAGTGAGAGCCTCAGTTTATAGCAACCTCCAGATCCACAGCAGATATATTGGCTTACCCTATAAAATCCAAACCAGGGCAATTTTGAAAGTGATAAGGCTGCTATTAATAATTATGCCAGGACAGAAGACACAAATGAGGATGGTCACAGTAAACTTGGACATATGATGTCCTTAGAGATAAGTCATAGCAAATGATCAGCTTACACTGTCAGCCAAAAATCACAAACTGCCCTAAAAAAAGCTGCATATTTTGTGTGAGCAGAGACCATTGGAGTCAGATGGATGTGACGTGGAACCCCAAACCTAGCATTAACCAGCTGTGTGATCTTAAGCAGGTTACTTTACTTCTCTGAACCTCAGTTTCCTTATCTGCAAAATAGAGGTAGAATTAATTGCTACTTCAGAAGACCTACCAAAGCACTCTGGGATCTGAATCCAGAATATTGAAATTATTATAGAATAGAAACAAAAATGACAAAATGGAGCTCTTTCTTGTTGCTCTGTGATCGCCAGAAAAGTGTCTAGCTAGTCCCTGGCTCTGATTACAAGATTAACCAGTTTGAGAATTTGATAAAAGCTGTGGACCTCTCCCCAGGACAGACGTCAAACATTTTGCATGCGTTTTCAGGGGCCTGTTATCCCCAAGGTCACCATGAACTAACTCTCCAAGGCAGTGCTGTCCAATAGAAGTATAATGTGAGCCACATATATAATTTAAAATTTTCTAGCAACCACTTTAAAAAGGTAAAAAGAAACAAGGAAAATTGACTTTAATAATACATTTTATTTAACCCAGTATAGCAGAAAATTATTTCAACATGTAGTCAATATAAAAAATTTGAAATTTTTTAATACCCTTCTTTTGTACGTAGTCTTCAAATTCCAGTGTGTGTTTTGCATTTACCGCATGTCTCGATTTGCATTAACAACATTTCAGGTGCTCAGTGGCACCTGTGGCTTGTGGCTCCTATATTGGACAACACAGCTTTGTGGTCATTTCTTAAAGTATGGTGTTCAGACCACCTGCATCTTCTGGTTAAAAGTACAGGCCACCGGGAATTCCCTGGTGGTCCAGTGGTTAGGACTCCACGCTTCTACTGCAGGGGGCATGGGTTTGATCCCTGGTGGGGGAACTAAGATCCCACATGCCTCGCAGCATGGCCAAAAAAAATAAAAATAAAGGAAGTACAGACTCCTGGACCCCAAGCCCAGAGATACCAATTCAGCAAGTCGGCATTGTATCCAGCACCCCAAGGTGATTTTTGCAAGAATCAAATTTAGTGTATTATCAAGTGATATAGGTACTTGAAATGTTTTAAAATCCATTCATTTCTTCCATCTTCTGTTGAAGAAATTAATGAAAAGTAACACCAGGAGATGTGCCTGGAGAGCAAAAGGAGAAGCAAGAGCAGAAGAAAAAATGGGAAATGGACGAGATGAAGCAGCCATTCTGGTCTAGATAATTAACAAGCAGAATCACCCAGTTCTTGGGAGTTGGGAGTGAATTATGGCCTTGGGTAACAGGCCAAATTCCCGCCCCTCAATCCAGTGATCCCATTCTGGCAGGGCAGTGGAAGGTGAGTGGAGAAGGGAAATGCTCTTGCCCTGAAATAGCTCTAGTAACAGGTGAGATTGACCTTGGGGCTCAGAGAGGATGAGGAGTTGGGAGAACATGGGTCCCTCAGAGGAGACAGAAAATTGAGCTGCAGACCGTTGACTGAGTCCAGGTCACAGAGCAGGGCCACATAGGCCCAGGGTGGAAGGGAGGTTGGCTCAGGGAATTTCCATGGTCAGAGGCCAGGTTACACTGCATTCCCATCCAAAGTAGTCGTGGGAACAGGTTCACTGGGCGGCTGAGGAGCAAAATTAGGGGGTAGATAGAATAAGGCAGTGGTGGGCCAGAGCCCCCCAGCACCAGCACTGGAGAGCAGTTTGCTTATCTCTCCCCAAACTGTGTGGTCAGTGATGTCAGGTCAGTAGCTTGAAACCAGCCACAGTGGGAGTATTTACATCATGGAAATCAGCAAATGCTATAAATCTTTTTTTTCTTTTTTTTTTTTTTTTTTGAGAGCTGATCAGCTTCTAAACACACCACTGGGATAAGTCCCAGCTCCCAGAGGAGAAGCTCCCAATAGACAAGGAAAACAAGCACATTTGAGCCATCTGTCCTTTGTACCCATAAGGGAAAATGAATTTTTAAAAAGTAAAGACACACTGCTTTCTAAAACATTATAGTAATAATTTTAAAAAATTGAAAAAGAGCTTTGCTTCCCTAGGAAAGCAAGTAAATAAGATAAGGGCAACCTTGGCCTTTGGGGTGAAAGTGAGAAAAAAAATAGCCAGGAAAAAGAATGTGACCTCAAGTACCAGAGTTAGAAGAGACACCGGCCAATGTGGGTGTGTGTGTGTATGTGAGAGGGACAGAGAGATTTAGGGCAGGGGGTGGTGGTGGGGACATGCCCAGGGCCACATGTCAAATTAAGTAGCACATTCAGACCTGTGGCTCTAAAAGGTTACCTCCCAAATGTCGTTGGTTTGAATCATTTACCTCTCCCCTCCCTCCCTCTGTTCACATCTACCTTCCAGATATCCTAGATTTGGAATGGCTATCTCAATGTAAGGATCGATTCTGGGAAAGGTATGGAAGGCTTGAGTCTCTGAAAGAGAAAGCCTCCCTCAGACCTTCATCTGTAGCTATGGAAAGTTACAGAACACTAGGCAAATGAACCCAGCAAGGGAATCTTTGGAGTTTCACCTGCTGTTGTTTCTGAGGGTTTTTATTCAGCTTTGGCCTGAAAGCCGATATTCACAGAGTAAGCTCCAGACAACATAATTCCCATCTCATTTTCCTATCATGAGGCTCCAGCTATGCCTGGGGATATATTAGGTATATAGTTCAAACTATCTTGGATTAAATGAAAGGAAGAAGGCTATCTGCTCGGGGCAAAATCCCCATGGGATGTAGCTGTTTTTCTAGCCATAGGAGAAATAAAGTCACCACCAATCTTTTCTATGGCATATACAATTTACAAAGTGCTTTGCACCTATTTTATTAAATAATAAATTTAATATTGCTAAGATCAATTACTACTATGGTCTTCCCTTTGCACAAGAAGACATTTGCTCAGAGAGGTTAAGTAATTGGAAGAGCTGGCTTTGAACCCAAGGACTAGGATTGCCTGCATCATGCTCCCCCAGGGAACACCCTGGGCAGTCTGGTTACCCTGTGCCCATTCACAGGAAGCCTTACCTGTAATTCTTCCCAGCTGGCCATTGTACATCTTTCCAACAAACCCAGCTACGTGGGCTCCTAGACTTACTCCAATCATGTAAATGTCATCCAGAGAAGCTCCTTCTGCCTGCAATTTCAAGAGGTCCATCGTTATAAATTGTGAGGGGCCAAGGAGGTGACAACATCTGGAGAAATTTCCTAACTCTTGACTTTGGAGAAACATTTCTAGGCACCTTATATCCATTATCTTATTGAAATGTCACAACACCACGACAAACTAAATGCTATTCCTTTGATTATACAGATGAGGAGACTGAGCCCAGGGTTGAAGTCATCTGCCCAAGGTCAGGCAGGGAGGGCGCAGGGCAGAATTCAAACCCGTCTGTCCAACTCCACACTTATGCCTTCACCTTTATGCCGTGGTGTCTCCATTCATGTTTCTGCTAGAAGCCAAGCTGAGACATCCTTAAAACCTTCCCAACTGAGAAGGGCAACCAAACATTTAATGAACTCCTTTCTGTCGATGCTGGCTCAGTTAATGAAGTCACCATGGAGAGGGAAGGAAGGAAAGAAAGGGGCGGGGCACACTGACCATAGTCCTGGGCCAGCCATTCATGAGTCATTTTAATATTCACTTTCCTGAAGTCTGTGGCTTAAGTAGGAAGTTGATGTAAAATTTATGTCACCCCTGGCCACAGTGGCCACCAGGTGTGACTCTCTGAAGTAGTCCTGGTGTCAAGTCACTTCTTTTTTTTCATATAAAGGACAGTTCATGAGATAGATTAAATTAAATTAAATTTAAGATTTATTTCATCTTTGTAAGTCTTCTGAAAACATAAATCATACACACAAATCGTTCATCAACCATGTGTATCAGTTTTGGTTTTGGATAATCTGGTCACTAAACTTTTGGCATTTCTAAGAAAAGGAAGAGCTATAGAAGTTGAGGAAACTCTAGGCATTGAAGCCAGGAAACCCCTAGACAGAACCTCTCATACCCATTAGACACCTTTATGTGAGTTAGAAAAAGCTGCCCCTTGCTCAGGACACTTTGCTGTCACTCACTAGAAAATTATCATAATAGACATATAAATCTACAATGTCTACAATGACAATGGTGCTGTCTTAGATGGGTGCCCTGTGCAGTGCACAACCTGTACAACCATACGCATGGGCGTTGCCTCGGGCCCTTCCCTTCACCTTCCCTGGGGCTTATTCAGATTTGCAAAACATTGCAAAAATAGTCCTTCTGGTCACTGTAGTTATCTCTTGGCTTTAAATATCCAGATATTGAGCCAGTTTCAACTTGACCCTGAATCATCTAAGAGAATTCTCGCTTACCAGCATTTGGTCGATAAATTCCTTCAAGACTATTGCTACTTTTCTGGTCTTTCCAGAGGCATGGTTGTATATTACAGTTGTAGCTCCTTGATTCCAATCAACAACAACCACGTTCATGTCATCTACAGAGAGCAAACCCTCTACTAAGTCCTCCATCCAAACTGGAGGAGAGCCTGTCGGTCTGAATCCATGGACAGTGAAGATGGTTTTCTTGGTCACGTTCAAGTTCCCCAAAACTGTGGAGTTGATGGCTTGTGCACAGGTCGGGTTTCTCCTTGTGTAGAGCATCAACTTCACATTTAGTCCCGTTCCAACCACTGCACTGTGAAAGCTCAGTTTGGTAAATGAAGGACATGTTTCATCTGTGTCTGAAAATAAAAATTATATGGCATTGTGACGGTTCTTTCCTTAGTTGGGCATAAAGCAAAAGTGCTGTCCTACACCCTTTGGAGTCCTTTCTATGTGCCTCACGGCACCTAGCAAGAGGCTGGATCTAGTTGAATGAAGTTGCAAAGTCAGACCTGATTCGGAGTACATAAGTAGTAACTTCTTTTTCACTGATAAAACCATTTTTCCAAACCCTACCCTCTTTCAAGGTCTAACCCAAAAGTCACCTCAACGAAGCCTTCTCCGACTCTCCCAGCCATAATTACTGTCTGTCCTTCAACCCAGAACTCCCCAAACCCCTCTATGTGCCACATTGACCGCACAATGAAGACATTTTCAGGGATGTATTATGGGTATTTCTGTACATATGTGTCTATCCCACTAGACCAGTCTCCTTGAAATGGTGTCTTGTAATCTTGTATATCCCTCACAGTGCCCAGCACGTGGTAGAGGACTCAATAACAGAATCTGTGGAGTCCAAGCATCTCTTTCCTTGTCTATAGCACCCACCTGGGACGGTGGTAGAGAACATGATGTGCCTTGCCCTGCACCTTTCAGAAGCATCTGAAACTGTTAACCATGGTGGCCTTTCTTGGGCTCTCTCTCTCCTTCTTTGCTCAAGCACCACCTTTAAGCATATGTCCTGCTGACCAGGCTCTAAGAATGGAAAGGCTGGGGATGTAATGGGAACAGTTTAAGATGAGCTGAAAGTAAGAGAATGTTTTATGGCAGAAAGTAAGAGAGTGCTTAAAAACATGTTATAGGGACACAGGAACCAGCTTGAAGAGGCTTCTGCTGGCCAGATCTGGGATAACTTGAGGACAAAACAATTAAGGAGAGTAATAAATGATAGGCCTTTGAAAACCAGGAATCCATGATTCCATAACAAATAAATACATAAATAAACAAAGAAACAATACCTACATGGAGAAGAGAGGAGGACTCTTACAATATAATGCTGAACGCAAACTGATAAATGTGGAATGCATGCTGGAGTTGAAATTCATCATTTTGCAACCATCATAACAAAGATTGGTTAGGCAAGAATCATCAATGGATGCTAAACTGAGGTTGGGGTGGGGATGTAGATCTTGAGGAGAAGCATGATATTTGTACGGTTTTACAGTGTCTCCCACAGGGACTTCCCTGGTGGTCCAGTGGGTAAGACTCCGTGCTCCCAATGCAGGGGGCCCAGGTTCAGTCCCTTGTTGGGGAACTAGATCCCACGTGCATACCACAACTAGGAAGTCCACACGCCACAACTAAAGATCCCACATGCTGCAACTAAGACCCAGCACGACCAAAATAAATAAATATTAAAAAAAAAATAAAGTGTCTCCTACAGATTGCTCATTAGAGATTAGTGAAGAAACATTAACTGTAAGATTGAGAAAGTGAACAATACCTTGACAAGGTTATCAAACTTGACATCACCAATGAGGAGCAGATGGATATCATGTGCCTATAGCTGTAATGCACTGGGAAGGACACAGCTTCACCTGTGAAGTGTTCTAGTAGGGAATGCATAGCTGGAATCTAACCATGAGGAAAAATCAGACAAACATAAAATGAGGAATATTCTATTTTTTTAAAAAAGAACCTGTATTCTTAAAAAAAAGTCAATGTCATAAATGACAAAGAAAGACTGGAAACGTTCTACATTAAAGGAGACTAAGGCTTCCTTGGTGGTGCAGTGGTTAAGAATCCGCCTGCCACTGCAAGGGACAGGGGTTCGAGCCCTGGTCCAGGAAGATCCCACATGCCACAGAGCAGCTAAGCCCGCGAGCCACAACTACTGAACCTCCACTCTAGAGCCCGCGGGCTGCAACCACGGAAGCCCGCACGCCTAGAGCCCGTGCTCCGCAACAAGAGAAGCCACCGCAGTGAGAAGCCCGTGCACCACAACAAAGAATAGCTTCCGCTCACCACAACTAGAGAAAGTCTGCATGCAGCAACGAAGACCCAATGCAGCTAAAAATAAATGAAAAAAAAAAAAGTAAACCTCTGATCGACATTGGTATCCAGACACAATAATATGATGATCGAGAGGACTATTTTTTAAATTATAATAATAATTATTATTTATTATTATTACTATTATTGTGACCCTAACCATGACCATTCTTCAGGAGAGGGAACAGACTGGGAAGACAGTTGACTTGCAACTGGCCCAAAAAAAGACAAGTGTGCCTTGGGAAACATCTGTTCTGACTTCTTCCAATAAGAATTTAGGAACCATTTGCCCTGGGCCCCTATTCTCAGTGAATCTGCACTTGCACACCCAGGAATTGCTCCTCCCTTATTCTGAGCCTCAGAGTGGCCTTCATCCTGGGGGCTGTACCTTTCCTTCACAACCTGGGTCCATTCATGGATACTTTTACGTGAAACTTCTTGCAAAGGCTCTGGTACTTAGGAGTGAGTGAACTTCCAAAATAGAATGAGCAAAAGAAGCTCAAATAGAAGGTTAGAAATTAAGGAGGCTTTGAAATGCCTCACCCTAGAAAAGATGTGGCTAAAAATTGAGCCCCAAAGTCATATATTCCTCCTTTTACTCTGTACTATCCAGTAGATTGTGCAGTAAAGTATGCTCACAATGTAAATACTGTCTTTTTTTTCCCAGCTTTATTGATATAATTGACAAATAAATTGTGTAAGTTTAAGGGGTACAATGTGATGATTTAATATATATATTAAGAAATGATTACAACAATAAGGTTAGTTAACACATTCACCTCACGTAGTTAACTTGTGTGTGTGCATGTGTGTGTCTATGTGTGTGAGAGGAGAACATTTAAGATCTACTGCCTTAGCAAATTTCAAATATACAATACAGTATTGTTCACTATAGTCACCATGCTGTGCATTAGATGCCCAGGACTTATTCAGCTATGTAAATATTTTCTCCATCTGTTGGCCCCTTTCATTTTTCTCTTCCTGTAGATCACTTGCCCCAGGTGAACACGGACTGAAACTTATCTGGTGCTTGTAGAGCAAGTCGCAGAGTAAATAATTGACTGTTCATTTAGTCATTTTATTGGACAGGAAGAGTCACAGGGTAGGGCTGAGCCTCTAGGTCTTAGCCATCAGTAAAACTGGGTTTTGTTCCTGGTTGTGTGACTGACTCACCAGGTGGCCTGGGGAAATTATGTCATCTTTCACTTGCTACCTACCTGCCCAAGAAACTTATGCGGCGGAGATTAATTGTGAATGAAGTCATACTGGAAAAGATAGAGATCCCTTTCCAAAGAAGGGGACTGCTTAATTACTAGGGTTTGTTCATTTTGAGCCAATTGAGCGATATTATGTCAATGTGTCATAAACCGTGTGTCTGAGTACTTGGAAGGCTCAGAGATGCATCCTGAAGTTTGGGGCCAGAGCTATTTTTCAGCAGAAACTGCCAACTTTAATGACTATGGAATGGTTCAACCAATCTTTTTGGCTTGCTGAGTCCTTACTAGAAGCCTTTAAAACTGACAGTTTCAGAAAAGCAAGAAGGGCAGAACAAATGGATTTTTATTTTTCATTTGATAGAACCACTGTGACTTCAAGTATTTTTAAATGTCTTAGTTATTTTTACAACAGCATTGTGCTCTGGAAAAGGCCATTGCTTTTGCTATGCGGATTCCCCTGTCTCTCTTTTCTTTGGTTTATTCCGTTTATATTTTCTTTCTCATACTGGGATGTTTATAGCCCGTTTTAATTTTTTCTGGCATTGACCTTTATAACTTTAGATGAAACACTTAAATCTCTATTTCATGGGATGTCAAGGTGTAGCCTGTAGGTCAGAAATAGACTACATGCAGAACTGCTCCAGACTTAGCAATATTTATTCAGATTTATTTATCCTCCAACGTGAACTCCTGGCAAGGAGATTTGAGCACCTGGAAACTGTATTTCAGACTGTTGTAGGGCATATTTTTAACTTCTGCCATGTGTCCTGCTGCTGACCTTTGTCAGAACAGTTATCTTTCCTTATTCTGCTCTAGTCCTTGCTTTAGTAACTCGAGACAGCATCTCATGACCCTCTGTTATAAATGATGAGGGCATTAGCACACTCAATACTTCTCCCCTCTACCTCCTGATTTTTATTAGTTATAAAATTACTTTTAGTTCATCTGGTGATTCCTTTTTCAGTTTAAAAATAAAATTTAAGCCTCTATTTCCTAGTGTATCAATCACAGAGAGCTTCTATTCTATTTACTGTATCTATTCTAGCTCCTCATTCCCTACCAAGAAAGATAAGAAAGTCACTGCACTTGTATTGCCTCCTGTATTGTATATCCTCCTTGACCTCTTCTCCAGAACACACACATACACACACACTCACACAAACACTGTCAAAATACAGTCAATCCTCTTTATTCGTGAATTTCATACTTGTGAATTCACCTATGCGTTGAAATTTATTTGTAACACCCCAAAACAAGAATTTGTCACCCCTGCTCGGCATCCCGGTAGTTGGGGTGTGCCTCGTCCAAGGGACACCCACTCCACTCCCCAGGAAGGAGGGCTGCCCCCTCTCTCCTTTTCCCTTAAGTGGTTTCTCTCCCTCCTCTTCCTCTCTGGTGGCAGGTACACCCTGCCACTTGGGGAGAGGTCAGCAGGGGACCTCTGGTTTGCATTAGGAGGAGAAAACGATTTGACCTCCACTTTTCTCAAATCCAGCTATGCCAACAATAAAGCTGATACTTTTAGCCCTGGGTCAAGTTCTCAATTGGTTGAAACCCAGACGGAAGAGGAGTGTGATTGCCACTCAGACCTCAGCAGCAGACTGGGAGCCCTGGAGGGCCAAACCTTTCTTAGTTTTAATAAATAAAAAAATTACATAATATTTAATACATTAAAAGAAGAATGCAGAATATCTGTGATAAAGCACAGCAATAAACACTCTACCTAAGAACTAAAATAAAACCCAAATGTATTTGTAACCCCCTAAATCAATACTTGAGGGGCTTTTCCAGTTATTCACGGCTAGGTGCTGAGTGGCAAAAAATCTGAGTTGCCCCACACATCACTCTCAGCTGAGGTCAAACACGGCGACACTCTGCCTTCTTGTTTCAGCTCTCATAGCAAATGTCCTTTACCTGGCCTCTTACTGCCATGTTTTTTGCTTCTTGTGCCTTTTCTTGGTGATTTCACTGTTTAAAATCCCCCAGACATAGTCCTCAAGTGCTGGCTGGCATTTCTAAACTCATGAAGGCTGTGATGTACCTTACAGAGAAAATGTGAGTATGAGATAAGCTTTGTTCAGGTATGAGTTATAGTGCTGGCCATGAGTTCAATGTTAGCAAATCAACACTATATATTGGGACTTTCCTGGTAGTCCAGTGGGTAGGACTCCACACTCCCATTGCAGGGGGCCCTGGTTTGACCCCTGGTCGGGGAACGAGATCCCGCATGCATGCCGCAACTAAGAGTTTGCATGCCACAGCTAAGGGCCCACATGCTGCAGCGAAGATCCCGTGAGCCGCAACTAAGACGCGGAACAGCCAAAATAAATGAATTAAGTAGATAAATAAATAAATATTTAAA